AGAGCTAGGCGCCGAAGCCCGCCGCACCCAAACCAACAAGTTGTGCCGCTGGAGCTTCCACCCCGAGCCTCGCCCCGCTCCCCGCCTCTGCCTTCGGGACCGCACAAGCCCTGCCCCTGCCGCTCCAGGGCAGAGGCCGCGCCCCCTTCCCCGCCGCATTCCAGGACTGCCCCTCCCCAGGCCTTCGAATTTTGCTTTCCAGCTAGCAGTATCCCGTTGTGTGTCCAGGCATTTAATTAGCCCTGCCAAGAGGGTACATCTCCATTTTGCAGACCACATCCCCGAGGCGGGGAGAGGTAGAACACCACAGCCTGGAGGCTCAAATTTGTGCTCTGACGCTGCCCATTCCCACCTGAAGTGTCGAGGGACGGGCAGCCCCTCCAGGTGTGCTGAAGCGGGGGTCCCACGGCAGGCGCAAGGCCCACACCCCACTTGCTTAAGTACCCCGCAATAACCACAGAAACAAGATGGGGGTCTGGCTTTCTCTTTAGTTCTCATTACACTGGGGCTCTGTCAAAGAGAAGGCACTTAAATGGTAAGGCCACCTGATGCAGGCCAACCATATTCGCCCCCCCACCTGCTCTGGGGTAAGGGGGCACAACGACATCGCCATTTGACATCCCCCTTGGCACTGGTATGTGGGTCCCCTTAACCGTTAGACCCTGGGGAGAGCCCAAGGCCTTGACCTCCGGAATTGCCATGTTAGGAGGAGGGGCTTCAGAAACAAGAGTCGGAAGGCAGGATATCCTGGGAGCTGCCCCCAGCCAGCAGGGGGCTGTAGGGGATGGGTTGGCACAGGGGAGGGGGACAACTTGGTCGGGCTCCCTGGAGATCCCCAAACCCCACAAAAGGTCCCACCTCCTACAGATCCCGCAAAGGCACCGGTGAAGTCGGGTGGGTGAAGAGGCACTGATGAGCTGGCGTAGAGACCCCCCCACACACACACACTTAGCTGGTGTGCCTAGCATAATGCTGGGCACAGAAGGTGCTCAAGAAATGCTTTTTTGAATGAATGAACGGAGCAAAGGGATGTGAGGGACAGAGGACAGGGCCTGGGGCCCCTTGGCCCAGCTTGTTCCATTCAGAAAATAGTTTAAAAAATGTAAAAATCCTTTCCCTCCCTCCCCCCAACGTCTGGGCCCAGGAAAGGGGCAAGGGAGGGGTGTCTCTACCCTGACCCTTCCCTCTCTCCTTCCCCTAAAAATCTATATACACATGTACATATTTATATGGCACCACAAGGGGGGTCTTGCCTATGCCCCCACACTCAGAGCTGGGGGAGCCAAGCCCCAGGGCTGGTTAAGGCAAAAGTCTGAGGTCGTTGCTTGGATGATGCAGGGAGCAGCCCTCAGCTGTTGGCCCTGGAGAAGCTGTACTGTGGGTCCTGAAGGACAGACTCCTGCTGCCTTCCCCAGTGGTAACAGACCTTCTCCCCTCCCTCCAAGGCAGAGGCAGAGGTTGGTAGGGGCCCTCTCAGTCCCAAGAGAGGAGGTGGGGCAGGGGGAGGGGCTGGTTCTCCCCTCCCAGCCTAGAGCTGTGCCCCTGGGAAAGCTGGGCGGGGAAGAGGGGGCTCTATGCAAGGCACTTGATGTTCACCGTTCCCAGACTGGGGGTCCAAGGCAGGAACCCTGCCTCCAGGAAGCAGAACCGGAAGGGGCCAAGGGGCCCGATTTGGCAGCAGAGAAACATGGCAGCATGGACACAGACAGAAAAAGGGAGCAGCAGGCAGGGCCCCTCAGGTCCCCTGAGAATGGGGGAGGAGGTTCGAAGGCACTGACATGGGGCATGGGGCTCACAGTCCTCAGTGCAGCCTGCTGCCCCTGCACCGCCTGGCGAGGCTGGTGGGGGAGACGCCCGCTTCCCCATGGCACTGAGTGTGGCGGTGGCCCGTGGGTTTTCCTAACAAAGGCCTGGGCAGTCTTCCTGGGAGGAGGTGTGGGTGTCATTGGTCAGGGGCAGGTCCTGGCCCCATCACCCTCACTAGCTCCCTGGCCGTGGCTGCCTGAGCACTGAGTACACGTCGTCCACGCGGCTGAGTTGCTCGAAGAAGGGGAGGAGGTCGTGGAGCTCTGTGTCACTCATGTTGTCAAACCACGAGGCCACCGGTACCTGGGGAAGTGGGTGTAGGAAGGTGAGGGGGGCAGGTGGTCCTGAGTGCAGAATTTCCAGGCCAGCCCTATGTAGCTACTACTCAGATCATGCAGTTTCTGAAAACCCCTCACCCATAGTGTTCAAACTTTTTTGACAGCAACCCCCAGAAAAACACATTTATAAACCTAACAATGCAAAAGCTTCACAATTCTTAACCTTATTTGTGCAAAGCACTCGGATACTTTTTTTTTTTTGAGGCAGGGTCTTGCTCTGTTGCCCAGGCTGGAGTTCAGTGGTGCAATCTTGGCTCACCACAGCCTCTGCCTCCAGGGCTCAAGTGATACTCCTACCTCAGCCTTCTGCATAGCTGGGACTCCAGGCATGCATCACCATGCCTGGCTAGTTTTTGTATTTTTTGTAGACATAAGGTTTCACCATGTTGCCGAGGCTGGTCTTGAACTGCTGGGCTCAGCTACCTGCTCACCTCAGCTTCCCAAAGTGCTGGGATTACAGGCATGAGCCACTGCACCCGACGGGATATTTTCTATTCAATTTCATTTTATTAAAATTCCCTATCAGGACCCACTAAATTAATTATGTGAGCCATCAGTAGGTCACAACTGGCAGTTGGAAAAGTTGAAACTTTCCAAACTTGGTTGCCCTTTTGGGGCCCCTGTGCATGGCAGATGCTCTGCTGTGTGTGAGGGGAAAGGACCACATGGCTGCAGGGCAGGTGGATGAGGGCAGTGGGCAGCAGGCACAGGCAACTGAATGCAGGAAGGACTGGGAGGGCACCCACCCCCCAAATGGGAATCCGGGAGGCCAAGGTGGGCTGAATGGACTGACCCCTTCCTGGGCCTCAGCTCCTGTCCCAGTCCCAGTCCAGCCCGCACTCACGGCATTGTCCGGATGGAAGACATAGGAGGCGGGCGAGTTGTCCAGGATGAGCACCCGCCGCAGGTCTCGGCCCAACCGGCTCAGGTCCTTCACATAATTCCCCCGGTGGAAGACGCAGGACTCTCGAAACAGCCGGGCCCGGAAGGCCCCCCATTTGTCCAGCAGGTCAGCTACTGGGTCTGCATACTGGGAGCAAGAGGTGGGTCATCCTGGGGCCTGCAGGTTCATTGGGCTGCATGTGGGAGGTGGGTGGGAGAGTACGGTTGCCCCAGGACCCCTGTGGGGCTCACCTTGGCGAGGCTGGCGGTGAATAGCACACATTCAAAGAGCTCGCCCATTCGCTGCAGGAACTCATCCACGTGAGGCCGCTTCAACACGTAGACCTGGGGGGCGGACCAGTGAGGCGGCTGCGGGCCAGTGGGGCAGTGTGGGGGTGGCCAAGGGCTGGGAGGGCATGGGCCAGGGAGGCAGAGGCGCACAGGAAGGAGGCTGGGCCTGCAGGCTCCACTTGGCCAGCTACCCTGACCACTGCTGGGAAACTGCCACCCCCACCCCAAAAACGATCAAAACTTCTACTCCACTGGCCAGTCCTACCTCATGAGGTCACTAATTCCCAGTCCCTTCCCCTGCCTCAGCCTAGTGTAGGAGTCCAGGGGCAGCCCCCTCACCCCAAGGCTGCAGGGCACCGGTCCCCGAGCCAAGTAATGGAGAACAGGCTGGACAGCACACAACCTATCCTGAATTACTTGAACTGGGTCCCGGGCAGGGTGGGGCGAGGGGGCACAGCATGGGGGAGCCTAGAGGAGGAGCCCACTCGGCAGGCCTGGAGTCAGCACAAGCCCCTGAGGTTCTGTGTGACTTTGGGGCAAGTCTCACGCCCTCTCTGGGTCTCTGACATTCCACATGTATGCAATTCCCATCCGAGGCGCTCCAGATTGGTAGGAAGAACCTAGGGACTGGGAGGCAAATGCCAAGCCCACCACTGCCTCTTCCTGGCCCTCACCTGGTGGACCACCCCATCAATCTCCACAGGGATGATGAAGTCCGCGTTGTTCACTGGCTGTGGGGGGAAAAGAGCTGCTGGAGTTAAGAGGAGGAGCCCCAGGGCATGGGGCCCAGCACACACCTCCCTCCCAGGCCAGGGTGGGGGACCCCTCCAAGACCCAGGCTGAGGACCGTTGAGCAGGGCCCACCTTGAAGGAGCTGTGCACCAGGGTCTCGTCCAGGTCGATGACCACGCAGATCTTGTCTGAGTCCTGGGCCTTGGCCTCAGGGAGCAGGTATTGGACTGGGGTCTGCTATAGGGAGGGTGACGCTGGCTGGGGTGCCTCTCTCCAGGCCCATCCTTCCTCCCATGTAGGCTTCTCCCCCTAGACCTCTCCAGAGGAACCCCGGGCCCAGGGGACAGATACTTCCCCCTTCCCAGCTTTGCCCCTGCCAGCTCTGGGGCTTGGGTAGGCCTCCTGGTTCTCTGAGACCTCTCTGAAAACCAAGGTAGAAAATAGCTTCCACTTATGAGAATTCAGTTTCCCCACAGTAGGCAGGGCCTGGCAGGGGAGGTTGCCACCCACCTGCTCTTCACCTTGCAGGTCTGCAAGTCCATCCTGAAAAGCTCAGTTAGGAGCCCCTTCCCCTAAAACCCTGAATACTTAGTACAGGTGCTCACGCGGCCCCACCTGGCCCCCACGCACCTTGGGGATGGCGCCATTCTCCTCCACAAGCAGGGGCGCCCCGCTGTGGGCGGGCAGAGCCTCCCCATCATCCCGGCAGACACAGCAGAAGAGTGAGTGGAGGATGCCCCGGCTTCGGGGCTTCTGGGAAGCTGCTGACTTCTGGTCACCTGAAGTAGGGAGGCCCAAGTTGGGGGCTCGGTGCACACTGGCCTGCAGAATCCTGCATGTGTGCCCAGGCATGAACCCCTGAGCTGGGAGGATCTTGCCGTGGCCCCTTCATCAAGGGAGACACACGAAGGCAGATCCTGACTTTCTCTGAAATGCCCCTGTCAAGGCCCCACAATCTGCTCTAAGGCTCCTGCAGGTCCCTGACAAATAGAGACCTATCAGATATTAGGGCGCCCACACAGGGAGTGCGTGGCCTGGAGAAGGGGGTCCTGGGGTGCTCTCTCCCTGCCTCTCACAGCCTCCATGACTGCTAATGATCAGCCCCACTGGGGTGCCTCCTGACCCCACCTTACCTGAGCACCCCTGCCCAGGACAGCCAGGGCCTGGGACCCATGGCACTCTGCCCCTGCCCTCTCTCCATCCTCCCCACCCCCATTGGTACAAAGTCCTCACTGCGGCTGGGCCCAGAGGCAGGGGTGCAGTCCTGCGGCCTAGG